CATGATTGTTTTGAATTAAGTCAGGTTCACTGAGAAATTAGCCAACAGTGAAAAATATTCATGGTTCATCAATCTCTATTAAGCGGACAATTAATCCCTAGTAAGGGCCAGCTCCCATTACCCCAAGGCTGGCCTCTTAATAGGGGTTTAACTGTATGTAATTTCAGAGAGGAATAAACAGGAGAGATATCTTAGGCAAGAAAACCGACATAATGGCTGGTCAATAGGGTCTAGCTCGTTTTTTGTAGAGTTCCTCTCAAAACACACCCAAGGGAAATTCAGAAAAGATTTTTCACAGGACCTGTACCGTCTTACTGACGAGAACAATGTATACCTAATAATTATTATATGATTGCACTATCTTGAAATTATAGTTTGGTATTGTATATATGCACCTAGGATAAACTGTCAAATATTGCAATTCACCTTGCGCCTCAAGTGTACTGTTTCCAATGTGGGAATCTGCTTCATTTCCCAGCAGTGATACCACCTCCTCAACTTTTGCAACATCCTTGTCCAGGTAATCTAAAGCTTTATCGTCACCTGTTAAAATGCGAGAAAAACCAGGTTGATGTCAAAAAATAACAATGCAGTCTTCAGTTGTTCTTCAGTACAGAACCCCATATTAAATAAAGCTCTAATATCTGAAAGCACTGTAATTTAATTTCATTTTTTTTTCAAGTTAATATACCTGATAGAAGCAAGTCATGATATATTAACATCTAAAAGGTCTTGATCAATGTATTTGATAAATTGTACACACATTACATCCTTCGAGAGAAAGAAATATCGCTTACAAAAGCATGAATATGAAAGTAAACTTTAGTATGAGAAATTAATGGAGAATGCCTATAAATCTAATTTCACAAATTGTAGTCCAAATGTGCCAATTGGCGCTCTTAGGGGCCCTATGATTAGCTAATTAGGAAAAGCTACAGCATACTGTATGCCTAATTACTCATTTATCAACCCAAATTAGTTAGCTAAAGTGTAGTACCTGAATTGTCATGCTTGATACCACAGTGTTTCAGGAACCCATGGATATCAGTTGGAACTTCAGGGTGCTTCTCATTAAGGTAGTTCACATGCTCTGTTCAAAATGCCTTGCCAAATTGTGGTGAATTTGTACATACATTCGGGTAGTTCAAGAGAGGAAGCCCACGGATGAAGTTCTGTTCAGTGTGACACAAAAGAAGTCATCTCATGCATTTAAAAGAGATTGAAATCAAAATAATACATGTACAGCCTCAACACCTGATAAAATCTGTTTATTTTTGCCATTAAACACAATGATGAAAAATTGCTAAATAATTCAATAAAAACAAGCAAATACACTGGCAAGATGCTCATTTACAAAAAAAAAAATACTTTTTTGTTTGAATTACACATTATTTACTTGGTAGGGAGTGAGTAATGCTCATTAGCCAGATATAGTGAACCAATCATGTGGCTTGAGACACCAAGGTCACCGAGCTGTGTGTATATACAAATAGTTATTAATAATAATAATATTATTAATTGCTGAAATTGAATAAATACCTTTCTTTGCATCATGCAATGAGAAAACATTAGCTTCCACTGCCCGTCTATTACCCACAGTCTACCACAACCTACATCATTAATTTTCACGAAAGGAGAAAAATTATTTAATATGTACCATATACCATCAGAACAGGGCTCAACACTAACACTTAGCCATTTTTCACTGAGAAATAAGTGTACTGCTTGGAAAGTCAAATATCGAAAATGAACCAAGATAATGTAGTTCACCCAATCCAGAAAGTAACCTTAATGCTAAAAAGGCAAAAAAAAAATCATTGACAAATGATAGAAATAACCAACTGACATAATTTGACATCTTCAAAAGGTTGATTTTACAACATTCTAGCATTTACTGATCCACCATATCAATGGAGTATTGAGAGAGCTGCCAAGTGGGTCTGGGAATGATAATTACATGTGGTATGATGTAATCAAATCCATCATTTTGGATTCCTTCTTTGGCCTCTAGCAGATACGTGTTGTGAAGGAACCCGTGAAGAAATGAGTCTACCATGGTTAGCAGCTTCCATATCAAACTCCATTTTGTAAAGTAAAATTTTGAGATCGACAGTAAAATTTGAAATCTACTTTCTGAAGTTTAATGTGGTGTAAAAAGGTAGTAACAAGCCATGCAGAATACAATCAATGGAAAAGGGATAGAATTAAATGGAGCACAGCAAAGGCTGTCCGCCGTGATTATAATCAGAAGCCAATTAAAACAGTATCAAAACAGTATTACACTTTTTATAATAACCTCTACTAAGAAAGGATTGGGAAGAAAGCATAATATTAGAAAATCTTGTCACACCCAGCCTGGATGCACCTCACTATAGTTGCCACTCATAATAGCTGGTTGCAAGCAATTACTGAAAGCACTGGTGCATTTGACAAATAAAACTCTTACCTCTTGCCTTACAAGCATCTGAACAGTCATCAGATGAATGACTATACACACCCTTGGCCCTTATCTTGTCAACTTCCTCCATCACTTTCTCTCTGTCCTCATTCTTTTTCATCATCCCAAAGAAGTCAAGGCTTCCAAGTTCTCTTAGTTCTAATTCCAGTTCCCCATTCCAAAATGCCGATGCACACTGCTTTTCTCCATATTCTAAGAGAGATAAACATGCGTTTAACAGTTACCTTTATTGGTTAGGAAAATTTAGTATAAGCCACTGTGGCTTAAATAACAATACACAGAAACACCATAAGAAAGGATCTATCCCAAATCTCATATAGTTTTGGCCTAAAATTCATGTATCCTGTTAATCCCAATGGGGAAAATTAAGGATTACCTCGTTCGATAATACGCTTTATCTAGTATAAATTTTGCATTAAATTTTTCCCCAAAATATCCGGCATCTGGTAATTTATTACCGAAATATACCACATCCCAAACAAACCTAATAGAGACTCTACATAATCACAAGTCATTTTCCAATTGGTATATCATTTAACTCATACAATTCATATGCTTTTACTCATATCATACAACAAACTATAACAAACTGATCAAATTAAATGAGTTATTGTCTTTGTTTTAGTCGTGGAATATTTTAAAAGAAATAAAAAACATATTCTCCATGTTTCTATAGAGTTATAAAAACACTCGTGAAAGTTTGGAAGAACTCTAAAAAACTCTGGAAACACTCTCCTATTGGCTTGTATTCCCACAGCAATTCTTGTCGTAACAAACTTTCACTAATGTTTCTATTTAACAATTAGATTATGAGCTCAAGATTTCTATCTGTGGCCGAGTCAACTATCACACATAGAAATCAAGAGCGAATAATCTAATAATTGTTTTAATATAAATCTACCACTGAGTCATTCGAAACTTCATTTAAATCTTCTTCGTAGACAACTTGAAATCACCAAGAAGCAGCTGTCATTTTATTATCAAGGGCACACTGCTACGGCACTCAATATCTGTCACAGATTATAGTTCGCCACTAAATTTTCTCTGATTCTTATTGGTTTCAATTGATCACTTGACATGATAGTATTTATCCACAGAGAGACACTATCAGCCCATACTGCCTGTCCAAGAAAAATACCCAGATGGATAGTACTCAGCCGTGGAAATTTTTCTGTAAACATGGGGTCTTCTAGAAAATAAAAAACAAAACCTGAAATTGTATTACTAGCCTTTGTTCTCTTTTCTTTTTCAAATTTTACATTTGGCTTTCACGGCTTACATCCAAAAAAATTGAAAAAATTTGTTTTAAGAACATCGAATTTCTGTGGGGCAACTATCAGCCAATAGACAGAAACACTATATTGCTTAAATAGACAGTGAGTGATGTAGCCAATCAGAGAACGGCATTTGTGATATACTGATACTGAACAGACATGCCCAGGGCAAGACGGAATCTATTTGTAACACAGATATTATCAGTAATACCTCCTCCTTTTGATAGCAGCTGAAACACCTCATTGTAGGCTGTTGAAAAGCCAGAAAAACTAACCCAGCTGTGGTTTCTAAAATAAATAAAAAAATAACAGAGATCAGAAAAGAAAAGGAACCTTAAGCCGAGATATCGACACAAGTTTAAACTTTAACGATATTCTGCTGGATGGCAGCTTTAAAAATCATAGGTATTCGAAATTTTAAACTTCATATCTTTATTATAAAACAAAACTCCAGAATACCCGGCCACTTATTAGCATCTTATTGAATAAGAATAGCAACTATTGTTATAAACCTCGTTCTGCATAACGGCTGATGTAAATAAAGTGGCCGGGTATTCTGAAGTTGCTCCCAGCATTTAGAATACAAAAAGATAAAACGAACAAAATGATATCACAAATCAGTGGGAAACAATATAACGAAACGTTAACAACTCACGCTAGAGCGCACTGAAATTCCAGCAACTTTCGGTCGACAAAGCAGACATCGCTGGCCTCCACCAAAGGTCGCTGGCCTTCGTACAGACACCAACCCCTCGCTCTGTTCCCGTAACGATCGTAATTATAATTTAATTTGCAACGGTCGCAGCGCAAACTAAATTTCAGGCCCGCCACCTTACCAAGGAGACCGTAGATTGTAACATCACAAGTCTTGTTGTGTTCGCTCAGCGTGTCGCTGCAAACGATACAAACACCAATCGGCGGAGTTAACAGAACAGGGAAACCACGTGAGGATATATCAACGTTTTGGAGACTTCGTGAATATGGAGGGCTCGCCTTAGAGACAACCGAGCAAGCTTCGTAAAGAAGAGAAGCCTGTAAATGAAATAAATATTAAGACAACATCGTTTAACAAAGGTTGAATACCAAACAACTTAAGCTCAGGGTTAGGCTTACTAGCATATAAACTTACTAAAAATAAGACAACTACACAAACCACAATCACCTCATACTCAGAAAGTCCAGTTAAATTCGCCACTGATATGTTTCGCATCGAATTTGGAAGAATATCAAGCTCTGCCAATGACGAGGTGACGAAGTCACGCACACGTTCGTCGAACTTGGCATGCAGATATACTGACAACACTTTCGCTGGAAGACTTCTAATCGAGTCCAGAGAAATCTGCACGGAGCAGAGTTGTCGGAAGGCTTCCGAGACGTCCTTTTCCGCCGCCAGTGAGCTATTAACCTCCTGACGAAGTTCATCTACGAAAGCGTCACCAGAATAACGCTTTCGTCCGGCTCCACGTGAGCGACGACCTCCTTTCGAAGACATTTCCAATAAAAAACCCTCTATATATATTTACAAACGAAGAACTGAAGATATGAACAATTAGCAACGAAGTATTAGCGATGTATAAAAAATATTATTTACAAAGATCTTGACAAGAAGATTTTAGAGAACAGTGCGCTTAGTCTAGCGTTTGGACAGACGTCCGATGACAAGATGATAGAGTGGAGATGATATGTGAATCACGTGACCTACTTGTGTGATGTGTGATGGGTCACAAAACAGTTTGCTCAGTGCCCGCGTCCTAAATCGGGCATCAGATGGCGGCACGGGCACAGCGCGCGAGCGTCACGGTAGTGTTGCGTGACATCACGCCACACCCTGGGGCGAAAGGGGTCGTTTCTCCCTATAGTTTTTCGCTCGCCGTTTTTCGCGCAGCGCCCTAACTGACTGAACGCCCGGAAGACGCTTATTTGGAGGAGAGAAGTAAATTTTCCTCAGTAAAAAGACTTGAATTTCATTTCACATTAAATAAAGGATGTCTATATTCCCACCGAATTCTAAGGACTGCGGGCGCGGCGGTTATGGGTGCAAGAATTTATGTTCCATGATTTACAAATAGTTCATACGTTAGCGCGCTTCTTAGCTTTGGGTTTTCCCCAAGTTTCTTAATTTTTCCAATTTATTGGATTATTTCGCCCGCTCTAACGATTACATTCCAAAACATAAATCAGAATAGAAATATCATTTATGAATATACATATTGGTTATATTGACTAAGCGTGAGGTCAAGATGGCTGGATATTTTTTTGCACGTTTATGGCCGAGGCCAATATCCCAGCCATCTTGACCGAACAAACTTGCTCAATAAAGGATATATTGTATGACTTTCGTGAATTTTTTGTTTTGCGGGACCCAGCGGGATACGGTGTAGTCTCGAGCAGGCAAGATAGTACCATCTTGCCCCCTCGGGTAGCCAATTACAACGCATGTCTTGCTTCATCTTGCCCGCTAACAGAGCTAGCCATATAACTGGTAGGTTTGGTACGTTAAAAAAGCAAAAATTCTAGGAACAGCATTTTGTGCCTGATCTGTTAGGTAGACGTGAAATTGACCTCCCTCAAGCAGGGCCGAAAACAAATGAATTGATCGCAAAGCACGTGTATACGAGAGGGTTTGTTCTCGTTTGTACATTGTATTACGTAATATTAGTTACGGCCGGTCAGTATAAAACACGGACTGCAGTCGGTACGCCGCATTTAGTCCGCAGTCCGCGTTTTATACCCAGTCCGTAATGCTTGGTCCGCGTTTTATGCCTCTGTCCGTGTTTTATACCCAGTCCGTAATGCTTGGTCCGCGTTTTATGCCTCTGTCCGTGTTTTATACCCAGTCCGTAGTCCGCATTCTGCAGTCCGCATTCTGCAGTCCGCAGTCAGCAGTCCACAACCATGTTTTAGACCGACCGGAACCCTACGATTCTGGACCATGTAAATTGACACAAATGTTGCCTGTTTCGACGGTATGCGAGAAATTAATGTCCATAGAAAGAAACATACATACATACACAAAACTCGATTTCTAAGTTCTCCATTAACCGATTAGGACTGCGTTTTCTCGAACGCAATAATCGTTCCCTGCGTGCCTATTTGGAACGTAATCGGTGGCAATCACGTGGATGTCCAATTTTTAGACGAAGGCAGAGGGCAACTGTCGCTATAAATTGTTTTGACAAAGAGAGTTCCAGTACATCCGTCCATGAGGACATTATTGCGCGAGGAGAGAATTTTCAGATATTTCGTAAAGAAAGAAAAAGCCATAAAATTTGCACACATACAACAATAAATTAAGACTTACAGACTGAGACGTTTCAAGAAGATTTATTATTTAAAAAGGTGAAACAGCGCTCTTTGCTACGTCTAATTTTATGATCATAAACAACTCATTTTCCGTAACACTTAACCCACAAAATGCGTGAAATCGCAGCTTTGGCAACCTGCAATTTCAAAATTTTCCGGAGGGCATGCCCCCGGGGCCCCTAGGTTGGGTTGCCCCTTCGAGCCTCTGTTATGCTTTATTGGACGCCTGTGAAAACTTCTGCTTAGAACCCTGATCAGATATTGGGATCCAGGCTAGCAAAAGACACGGATCAAGAGACTGCACCATGGTGGCTTCATTACACTGTAAGTCAGCATGAAATATTACTTTCATATGACCGTTAAAAGCACTAAATACACACGTCGAAAGGTGGATGTGTGTGCGAAGACATGAGGGGTATCACAAAATTTATCAATAGTTATGAGGGGGGATCACTTCAATAAAATAACATTTAAATTGGGATCAGCTAAATGTTACTGTCTTTAGCCGAAAATCCTCCGACACCCCCCAGGCGATAAACAATGACCGGTCCCAAGCATTTTGGTGAAGTCCAATACCGTCGTAAGCACCTGTCTAGCTGTACTATTGTGCAACACTTTGTGGTGAACACTACCTGAAGTTGTACATGGTTTTTACGAACAGAACAACAGACTTGCCTATGATGGAATGGCCTCGCCTGGAACAACAATGAGCTCATTGGCAGCCGGTAGCAGTTTTGGTTTAGTAAACGAAAGATAAGGCCATTAGTTTGGAGGCTAGCATAAATACAGCAGTTCTGTAACCTGTTCTTGGCGGGACACCGGATAACACTATCTCGTCCTGGGTTATTGTTGCAACGAAGTTCTGTCTATTGCTCTCCTTTATCTGCTGTAACAGATCGCGGCTTACCTTCAGCCAGCGAGTTTCCCAAGGTTTTAGAAAAGTGCTTTCACAGGCCAAAAACTTATTATTGAGCGGACAGGTAAAGTTGCTTCTGAGAGTGTCCGCCTTACAAAGAAGTCATTAGTCAGTTTGAGAAAACCACGGCGACTGCATCGAGAACGTCGCTAAACAAAAGATTTAAAAGCTGTGCACGTGCGTTCTTGGTACATTTCTTTGCCGTCCTCTTGGTACATTTCTTTGCCGTCCTCTGCAAAACGACAATGTGAAATGACCCGGAATTCTGCGTTGTCTGGAGAACGTGGACCACGACGGCTAATTTTTTAAATTTTTATTTTAAATTTATCGCTGTGTTCCGTATTTAGTTTTGCGATAGTTTTGACGGAGAAAAACAAAGTAAATGACTTTAGAGTACCGCGAGATTCGTAGGTAAAATATAAATTCATTTTTTCACACGACGTTGTCCTCGGCATCGCTGTTGTGGTTACTTTAACTCCCTATTATTCTGTCCCCTGGGGAAGAGCCTCCAAATGTGTGGCCAAAAATGCTACAGATTACGCGGCAATGGATTAGCATCCCTTCCAAAGAGATTGAAAATAATTCCAGATGGTTATGCTACAGAAAACAGGTTAACGCCCGAGCACTTATTAGCTGCCTTGCAACAAAACTCTTTCAACTGTTTACCACTGAATTGCATTTGAAGATGGACAAACCTTTTTGGCTAATACTTAAGACTACATCAGCTGTGTGCTAAATGCGGGTCATGTGAAAACCTTTCTTTAGTTTGTTTATATTCTTTTACATTGATAAGTTTAGCTTTTTGTGTATGGATAAAATTGTTGCTGTTGTTGTTGTTACTTAAGCTTAAGCTTAAGGGAATACGGCGCAACCATAACAGTGGATTCACCAAACAAAATTACCATCAAAGTCAAGTATGTAGCCAGGTAAACAGTGGGTAAAGACGTTTCATAGCTGATAATTTAGTTCGTTAGTTATTAGTAGGCGAAGAGCCACCCAGTAGAAGTACTACTAATAAAGTCATTATTATTATTATTATTATTATTATTATTATCATTATCATTATTATTATTTATATTATTATTATCATTATCATTATCATGATGACAAAATCCGATAGAAAATCGAGCAATTTCAGGCTTTAGTGGACAAAAATCTGGTACCAGAATGATTTTAAGTGTTTTACAATCATTTCTACATGTTCTTTAAGCTAAATACATAAATAATTGCCTGAAATAACACCGAAAACAACTTCCCATGGGAACAAGAGAAAATAAATTTTAAAGTTCAGAGAACTTGTGCAAACACAGGAAAACTTTCATCATCAGTTTCATTTCACCAGTACTTCCAAGTGTTTCATACGAAGTTCAACATTCGTTTTCGACGTTTGGTGTTGCTAGAAATGATTTTTNTTCATCATCAGTTTCATTTCACCAGTACTTCCAAGTGTTTCATACGAAGTTCAACATTCGTTTTCGACGTTTGGTGTTGCTAGAAATGATTTTTTGTGAGAAGATATTTAAAACTGTCGCACAGAAGTTTGCAATACGATGTAAATAATCTTGGTACTAGGTTTTTGTCCACTTGTTAGTCGAACTTCCGATGGATTCCGTCTTATTATTTTTGCCTTGATGAACCACACGATGTTTTTGATGTTCATTATTTAATGAATACATGTTTCGGATGAGACATCATCCATCGTCAGTTGTACAGTGGTAAATAAAATGAAAATATGCAATAAATAGTGTAACAAAGTGAGATATTAACAAGAATAATTAAGGATGAAGGCGCGAACCAAAAAAAGGGTAACACTATTTAAGCTAAGAAAGGAGACTAATTAGTATGAAAGGGATAAATTAAGATGTTTGACCTGGGAATTTAAAGACGGCTGCTCCCAAAGGATGTGCATGGCTTCCTTGATTTTCAATAGGAAGCTTGTGGAAGCAGAGTCGAGAATTTTAAAACAATCTTCTGAACAAAGGGAGCAACAATTTTCAGAACTTCTCAGGTGTTTAAAGATGTGGGAATGTTTGTAAGAGGAGAGATGCACGCGGATGCGAGTGGCGAAGTGTCTGTTGGTTTCATGGATCACATTATCACTATCATTATCATCATCATCATTATCATCATCATCATCATTATTATTGTTGTTGTCGTTAAAAGCCACTCAGAAGATAGTTAAGGGTTCAACAATGGACACATAAAACGCCGACATCTAGCTAATCTGCTATAAAACATGTTGCGTGCATGGCTTGGTCATAGAGAAATACGAAATCGACTATGCGTTTTAACAAATAGTAGTAAATATACAGGTATCGCAATTTCAGTTCAAGTCACTCACAAGTAAACCAGGTACTAGTTAACCAAACATTTGATGACTCAGTACAAATATTTTAATGTTTTTAAGTGTTCCTTTATGAAAAGATCGTACAAATTACCCTACTTCTACTTCTACTAGTTAAAACAAAATAAGATGGCTATTATTCCAGTTAGTTCTAATTATAAGAGAAATGATTGAAAAAGTTTTTTTTACATTATTTTATAAACAATTTTTATCTAGTAATTAATAGAAGCATGCCCAGTATTTACGAAACAGTAGCCTGTATGTGCTGCAGGACCTTAGCAACTCTTAGTCTGCCAAGGCAGAGAACTGCCATCTTACGCCTCTATGTCAGACTAAATGTGCCATCCTTCAAGGAGCCCTATTCGCAAAACGAACATACTAAAGACTATCTTTTTCTACAGCAATTGTAATATAAACGTCCTTTTTTGTTTTTCATGGATCACATTTTAGCATAGTCTTATTATTTGAATTCATTTGTAAAGTTTTAAGTTTTATCTAATTCGGCTCTAGAGGTGTGATTTTAAAGGTTCAATAAATTATCTATCTATCTATCTATTTTAATTTTTCTCAGTTCTTATGCTTTTTTGCCAAATCACGTTCGAATCGTGGCAAAAAGACACCATAATTCTGACTTTTAGCCACCAGAGCACACATGTCTGTAGGCTTTTAGTTTCTCATGGTTTAGACGGATTGGGACTGTAGTTTTTTATAGAACTAATCGGAACTAAAAGGAACAAATAATGTCGAGAGCTAATATCTCTACCCCTTCCCTTCCTTGTCTCAACCCACATTTTGCCTCACCCATCCTGCCACACCCTCCTAAAGGCTCCATAGACAAAAATTGTCTTTGAACAGCTAGTTTACAACTTCGCTCAGGAGGTCTGACACAACAATAGCACAACACAGTGTCTTAGAACAAATTTCTAGAAACGTCTACTAATTCTGTTGATACAAAAAGTAAATTAATCCAGCCTCATCTAAGGCAAAGCAATATCTTTTTTTGCCGCCAACTTTGCTCACACCATTACGGGAATTTTTCACCTAAAAGAAGTTAGACAACAAACCCCAAAGTTCGAAGCATTTGTTCTTGGGGTCACAACCATCACACACTTGAAACTTTCATTTTTCTTACTCCAGCATTACTGCGGACAGTAAATTTTACCCGAAAGTCAAATCACACGAAAGTCCTATTTTCCGGCCATGCAAAACCAACTGAATGTAATAATTCAACAGAGAATAGACCCCATTAGACTAGACTTTCTCAAAATCCTTCACGGTTTTAGGTAGTCCCCTATTTCACGCTGATCGTACTCAAGTTTTGAGCGTCGCAGAAATATTTCTCAGATAGCCTTGTAGGCAGATCTTACATGCGCAAGACACAGCCCTGTTCTAAAACACGTAGCTAACACATTGAGTGCTAGGGTTGCACTATGCTATATAGAGAGCAAATAAATTTATAGCAACATTTAAATGAGTAATTTTTCAAACATGGAAATATAACACTAATAATGTTTTTGACTGCCTTTAGGTGGCCAGTCATTGCCCAGATTTGATTGAAGCTGTACTTGTGGACAACTTTTAACTACGAGCCTCCGTGGTCTGTATTTCTACGGGATCATGAACCAGGAACAGTCTACGGTGAAATAAAAGGACAGAAACACATTTTAAACTTTTTGTTGTTTAAAATCAAACTATCGACATGGTTTCTTGCCTGCGAGCAGGCTCTTCGCAAAATGAAAAAAAAAAGAAAAAATTAAGGAGGGGAGAAAGTATTTTGCGTGCAATATCGGACGCACCGATCTAAAATTCTAAGCGACGCGTGTATGCTCTTCTTGTCTTATGTTTTAAGTTGTTGATAACAAATAGTTGTCGACAACTTAATGTCTATAGTCTGTGGAGGCCCTTATAAGCGATAATTTATTCAATTTTAAAAGAGTTGCTACCAAGAGTTGCTTTTGTATACATTTAATTCGTGAACGTACAGTTGGGAATCCTTCTGCGATAGAGGGCCAGACCGTCAACATCAAAAATTTGCGAACGGGACTTTGGGCGTGATGCTCAACGAGTTTGCCTATGAATTCTAAAAGTCTCTGAAGAGTTTCTTGGCCGAGACGAAACGCCGCGTCAGACTAGCCACGAGCATTTCACAAGTATTTGACAATTGTTTGCTTTTGGTTAAAAACGTTGTTGGGGAAAACACTTACCACTTCCAAGTCACCTGTCTGTCCCTTTTTGATCAATAACTCAGAGCTGAAAGCAAAATAGAAAGTTAATAATGACTTGCCGACTTAAGATAAAACCTTTACAAGCACTGTGCATACCCATCATAAAATGAAATAGTTCCTGTCTTGTCTTTTGCCATGTTGTGCTTTATCCTGAGGAACAGAGATGGAAACATTTGTTAATTTCCCAAATCTGTAAGAAGGAAGGAGGGAGGGTTATGATCATAGTTAAAAAGCAACTGCCAACACTGATCATATGGTATAATAATATAGATAGGACCCTGAGCGCGCTCTGATTGGTCAAAAACCCACGTTTTATCAGAGTATAAAGTATAGAAAAAGCGTGTTTTATTGTTTTTCGTCGCATTACCCCTATATCAAAAAGCAAATGAAGAAGCCTAAGCCGTGCATTACACTGTGATAAAACACTCCGGACATTTGAGAACACTCGAGAAATGTAGAAAACACTCGCCTGTGGCTCGTGTTTTCTACATTTCCCTCGTGTTCTCAAATGCCCGTTGTGTGTTATCATAGTGTAATACACGGCTTAGGCTTCTTTATTTGTTAAACAAAAACTGTTTATGAAGACATGATTGATTATCGCAGTTATACTTATGAAATTTAAGCATGAAAAAATTCAGGCTTGAACGGGATTCGAACCCATGACCTCTGCGATACCGATGCAGTACTCTACCAACTGAGCTATCAAGCCAACTGGGAGCTGATCACTTCGTGAGTTCGTAATATAACCGTGGATGGTGAAGAATACAAGTGAATACATGGAAGATCATACGTTTGAACTGCGGAGAAAGATATTTATGAAATGCATGCCTGCAAAAATAACTGAACTGCGTGGTCAATAGCACTTATTATGGATATTTATTAGAAAACGAGAAACAACCTGCAAGAACCTTTTTAACGCTAAAAATTAGCATTTAGATGAACGTTTTGTAAACAGAGAGAAAGAGAACTCATACATTATAGTGCATACAAGTGATGTTGGTGCCCAATGATAACTAACATCAATCCAATTAGAGGAAAAATGTTCAAACGTTTTTTTTTTTTTATAGCGGTCAACGCGCTTAGCTACACCTAGCTACTTCTCAGGCATGCCACTTAAAGTGAAAGAAACAAATATATCAACTTAACATAACAGACTTAAAAATCCCAACTGGCGGGAGGCAGACCAGTTGGATATTTACAAACATGACCGAGGAGCTGAACTAGGGTCTACCAAGAAACAACTCCAGCTTAGTGGTCAGAGCGGGACTTGAACCCGTGACCTACGGATTTTAAGTCCGGCGCCCTAACCACTCGGCCACGCTGGCTTCCAAACAAAAGAGGTTGTTTTGAAACCCTTATTCGATTTCCGCATCACACCAAACAGTGAAACAAATAAATGTAGGTGTGTCAGTGAACCAGAAAGAAAAAAACAAGAACATCACCATTGTTACGAACACACGGACAGTAAAGCAAGAAATCAGTTTTGTTCAGACTTACTCTCCTGTCTCAATCTTGAGAAGATTGTTGTTGTTGAGTGCAGTAAGGATGTAGACCACTGTCTCAATAACATGACTGCTTGTCAGAATGAGATCACCCTAAAATAATAGAAATGAATTTTTCAGACGTTCGCATAAGTGGTTGTGAAAAACTCTACAATTCATTTACATGTAAAATTTTGTTTCAAAATTCTAGGTATAGTTAGATAAAAAAAAAACTTTATTAACGTGCCAGTGTATTTAGCTATAGATTAGCTAACTGGGGACACCTAACTTAAGTCAATAGCTAATAAGCCAGCTCAATAAGCTAAATCAAGATATAGGGGTTTACGTATCTACAGTTTCAACCGGACGCGCTACATTCCTTGGATGCGAGACACCTCTAAAGGTATACGATAACCTTAAGGTATACTACGATTATCAGTTGAGTGAGGCGCGAGGAACTTTGGTGAAAATGTTTTAGACTTAAAATTACGCTGTTGCCACGGGCAACTTTCCTCGTTTCCAATGGTAACAATATCGCCGCCTGCAATTTCGCGCGCCTTGCTGCCAATGCCGTCAAAGACCGACAAGTTGCCACTGGAAACGGAGCTAGTTGCCTGTTACAACAACACAAGTTGAACGTTAAAACCTGGTCATCAAACTTTCGTCGCGTCTTACTCAACTGATGATCGTAGTATAAGAATGGCGTAAAGTTGTTGAGTAACAACAGATGAGATCTGTTATGTAGTTGTTCCAGGTTACATCGAAAAAGTGTGAATGCAGCGAGTAAACATTGCAAAAGCATTGGCAATTTCAAATTACCTTGTCACTCTTATCTTCAACTGGCATGTGAAGGACAAGAACGCCATCAGTTTTAGAACTGACTGAAATACCTGAAATAGCAACAACAGAATCATGAGGGTTTATAGAAATTCATAACTGAGAACTTTCCTGACGCTTAAAACTGGAAGCCAGGTTAGTATCTGGCTGCTGTATGAATTTTACAAACCAGGAAGGCTGGTAAAGAGGGGGAATTAGGTAGATTTTGAAGCCTTTCCGATCCGGCACTAATACCTACCTGGCATAACAAAGAAATGTTTGCCTGTTTTAAATCTTTGCTACACCCTATTTTAACATATACATACATAATCCTCTTCGTGCTTAAGTTGCACATAAGACCGTATCCCTATTTTAAACCACGAACAAAATTCAGAACTAACATATCTTTAAAGGAACTCAGTCACGGTATTTTGAGTTATTTTTACCACATACACAATTACCTTTAAATGGTAGGAAACCTGAAAATAACAGTTTAATAAGATAGAAAAACACCAAAGAGATAATGATAAACCATAAAGGAACAAGGATGGCTAAGGATGGAGAAGATTAACACGGATTATAAACGACGACTTTGAAAAATTGAGGCTAAACTTTTCAATATGCGCAAACCGTGACTGAGCCCCTTTAACTAACTCTTTAATGAGCCCTTAACATCTGGTAGTCACTCCTACAGAACTATTTTAGTAACATTTGCTGCTGATGTCTAAATAAATAAATATCAATTAATTAAATGTGGACCTTAGGGGGCAAGAGACAAACAGACAGACCCAAAAGAATCTCGGAGAAAAAACAGCAGAAAAAGATAGGGTGGAGTCTGGTTTTACAGATTGCTGTGGCATTGCAGTTTGTACGAAAGAACAAGAAACATGGCAAGAGAGATTACAAAGCCCTATTTCCTAATTATGGAATTGGAAATGACGATGATAATGACGACGATAAATTAATTAAATATCAATTCAAGCTACCTGTCAGACTTCCATTTACAATTCTATGCTTGAGTTTATAGTTCTTGTCATCCAGAACATAAATAGCCTGTAAACAGATGTGTGCAAAATACTCGTCAACAACAAGATGACCCAAGAATCAACTGAAATCTCAAGTTACCACAGTCATGGTTAGTCTGCATTCAAGCCCAGTAGCCCGCCAGGCCACTGCTTATCTCCAGTTTTGGTAACATGATGTGATTAGGAGTATTTCTTTCTCCCCTGAATGAGACGCTCGTCCATCACAGGGTTTACACCCAACAATGAAGTTACTGGTACCCATTTATACACCTGGGTGGAGAGAGGCACTGTGAGAGTAAAGTGTCTTGCTCAACAACACAACGTAATGAACCCGCCCAGGGCTTGAACACGAACCACTTAATCAAGAGTCCAGCGCCCTACCCATTAGGCCTTCACCCCTGCCACAATGACATTGTCATGAGTCAGGCATTATTGTACGCTCAAAAAAAAAATTATTGTAGGCTCGATTTCCGCCGGTCTCTTGTGTCCCAGATATCAATTCACAACACTAAATTTCCACGAAAGCACAGAAAATGTATTTTATTTCTTAATCATGGACTGTACACTGATTTTGTCACAGACTTACCTGCTCTGTGAGGATGAGGATGCGTGTTCTGAGTTTGTAGCCATTTCTGTCGTACTTGTGCACTCCAATGCAGTACTACAGTAATAAGCAATATAGCCACATAAATATAAATCATACACTTGCAGTATCTGATAACTTAGGCTGGATTTCCAAGCACTAGTTGTTCCTCTTGTTAATGTTAACATTTCACAACATAGCTTTTGATAGCCACTAAAACACATTTATTTAGTAAAACCTATCTACCTCAGTGGCTTATCAACACAACAATGGTTAGAATTCCTTTATACAGAAGAGCGAGTTCATTGAAAAACACTCACCCTGATGGTTTCTGATGATGGAACAATCTGCTTCTCTGTAACGCTCTTCTTCAGTATCTCCTGAGCAATCTCTGTAAAAGGAGTACAGGGGGATGGACTATGCTAAATAACTGTTAGGAAATAAATATGCTAACTGACTATCAGTAGACAAATGAAAATAACTTAGAATTTGTCTTACTTGAGTTCTACATCAAACAAAATTTTTCATTGGTTATAAAACGTTTTGTGATATTCTGCTTTAAGCATGTTGAATCAGCAAGTCAGTCTCTGGGTGTCTACATTGGCCAATGGACAGTCAGTCTTCAGTCAGTCTTTAGTCAGTCGTGAGTCTGTTCATGTATCTTCAAGTCAGTCAGCCTGTTAGTCTGCACATCCCTCCATCCCTCCATTTTTGCCTCTGATTATCTTTCGCTCCATCCGTAACTCTGTTCGTCTGTCTTTGTCTGTCCATAAGTCCGTTAGTCGGTCATTGCTCTAGTTTAGTTAGAACAGATCATGGGCGCTTTGTTTTGATCCTAAATCATTAATTGCCTTTAACCACTGACAAAACAGTTGATTTTTGGTAATTTGGTCACATATTGGCATTTCCTCATGCCCTCCCAGAGTTACAGAAAGCGAATCACAACTAGTCCATAAGGCCACAAGTATTAAGAAGGAATCCAACAGAAATTTGAGAAACAAGTGGACAAAAACTTTGCACCGTAATTATTTACATCGTATTGCAAACTTCTGTTCGACTGTTTTAAATATCTTCTCAAAAACGATCATTCCTAACAACACCAGAGGTCGAAAACAAATTTTGAACTTCGTACGAAACACTTGAAAAAACTGGTGAAATGAAAATGATGATAAAATTTTATCTGTGTTTGGACAATTTTTCCGAACTTTGAAATTTATTTTCTCGAGTTCCCATGAGAAATTGCATTTGGTGTTACTTCAGGCTACCATTTAAATCTTTAGCCTTGTAAAAATGTAAACAGGACTGTAAAATACCTAAAGTTATTCAGGTACCATGTTTTTGTACACTAAAAACTGAATTTGCTTGATTTCCTATCAGATTTTGTCTTAAAAACTCAAGCACAGCTACCTGAATATCCATGAAGTGAAACAGTAGATCATGTGGCACAGCCAGGTGTATCACAGTGATCCACATGATTTGTCAAAGTGATTACTTATCCTGTTGTTATGACAGTAATTATATGTAGGTCAAAATTACACCAAAGATAAATACCAAGTCTGTGTGGAATGAAAGGTACTGCTATGCTCTGCTCATAGTTGGCTTTCTTCCCTTTGAACATTGCACTGGCTGCCACCTTCATGTCCAGCTAAGGAAACAAAGTGTCCCAAACCATCAGGACTTATACATTTACACACAGCACTTTTCTGCACAGCACTATTTACTTTTCAATTTGCTACAAGTGGAAATGTAAGAAAATAAATTGCTTGACTGTCTTGTTCTTTGGGAAAGGAATGGCCCATAATTTTTTGGAGGGGGAAGGGGGGTGGTGGGTGGGCAATTTCCAAAAATAAAAAATCCTGCACAGCAAACATTTCTGAAAAAGATTTGTGCAAGAGGATCCATGCATGGGGAATAAAATTTAAGCAAGTGCTTTCTACTATCCAGATCCTATGTTTGATTTTAAAAAAAGGATTTTTCAAGCTTTTGCCCACCACAAAAGACCATGCACAACCTAAAGGTGAAAAAATAAATTCATGCCCCAGAAAATTGCCCAACCCACCTCAAAAAATAATCATCTGTCTATAAGGTCAAGACAGCAATCTCAGACAGACAGTCAGACTGTGATGTGATGTGATGTGATGTGATGCGATGAGCATAGATTTTTCCATCATACATTTAGTACATTTGCTCAAAAAAATAAAATAAAATAAAATAAAGTAACAAGATATTCATTAAGAAACCAACCTGAGCTTTCCTCTCAGGTGTGACACTTTTAACATATTTCCTAGCAAGCTGAAGAGTGTGCATCTTGTGCAGTAGCTCAGATGCCTGAAACATTACAACAAATACTCATTCATTGCATCCTGTTTCACCAGCCACACTTGTAAAGCCCTTCTTTGCTGAGGTAACCATTGCATAAAAGTCATACCTTTGTACATGTTGACATTTCTCCACGAGAAGATTTGCTTCCATGATAGCTCAGGACAATTTTCTTACAATAGGTTGTTACGAAGGCTATCAGTTAAACTTTGACACAGGTTTGTTTTAGTGGATAGAAGTTGCATTGAGAGAAAGCCAGAAGGTGATGTTACACAAGCTGATTTTTAATGCCAATTTTTAATCTACGTTACAACACTGTTGCAGGTTTTTAAATCGCTTTCAAACCTGCAATATGCTGCTGCAACGAAATGTTGCATCAAAAGTTGCCCTTTGTGCCATGTTACACAATCACCTTTAAGGAATTGATTAACTTCACATTTGAGGACTAATTAAATAATATTGCTTATATTAAAGGAGGTGGTCATATGGAGAAGTTGTTAATAAGTGGGGTTCAAGTGTACTAATCATTCTTAATTATGAGTAAATGACACTTAAGAAGATCAATCACAGCTGACTTTGTACAAATAATATTACAGTGTGATCTGGTAATACTTAGGTATAGGTTTACCAAACTTTAACATGGCTGTCAGAAATTTGTTTCAGTAACTCAAATCAATGTACACACTAACCTCTACCATTGATCCAGGAGGCTTTGGCCAACTCTTGTCTAAAACACTGGTAGGCAAACTTTTTGCAAGCAGGAGAAGGTGGGACTTCCTCACATATGCTACAAACTTAAAAGGAAAGATACATGTCTTTGGAAGAATAATATCAAGAAAACTCTAAACAAATATCACACAACTGTTATTTACCTTTTGGTCAGACAGTAACAATGAGTAACTTGATTATTAAACAACGACATCTTTTCTCAGTACAAATATTATTACAGTTGTAGTACATTTAAGCATATTAGGTAAAAGCTGACATGCACTCAAGTCATGTATTTGACTCACATCAACATTATCCTCACTTGCAGGCTGGTTTCTTGTTATGAATCCCTTGATAAACCTTAGACGATCAGGAAAGAAACAGCATGAGATCTATACAGCATCAACATTGTAAGTACTAGATAAACTAAAAGTGCAAGTTAAACTAAAGTAAGAAAGCATATAGTTAACATACTTGCGTATCCGGTGTGCAGCTTTTCTACGTTGTTCAAGCAGCCTTTTGGCAAGAACCCGTTTCCAGTGTTTGGCAATGACGATGGTTGCCAATCGCATTGTGACAAATTTCTTTCTCTGATAGTAGCCCTTGAATTGAGCCTGGATAATTGTTGCTGTTGTAAGAGATAATAACAAACTGTGCATTAAGGTACAACAAAACATTTATGTTACTAAAAAACAGGAAATATGAGCTTTAAACACTATGCACTCTTTGTTCACATAAAATTTACAACAACTTTCACAAAATTGGAGTGTCTGACATTGGTAGCATTATCTAATATTTTCTGAGCTATGAATGCAACATACCAAGCGCAGGCTTCTTAGCTTGAAAAGCATCTTCTGTAGCAAACAATGTTTGTGGAAATCTGATAAAAATTTTTGACCTACCAAACAAAATCCCAGTCAAGGTCACTTCATAACTACAAACAATCTCATGTACAACTACAGCATGGGCCATTCTTGAATTAACGGAATTATTTTAAAGGCACTTGGTTGAGAATTTAACAAAACCACGGCATGCATGTATTGTCCTTGACATTACAACGATAATATAAAACCATGATATAAATCTTATTGATCAAGGGCGAGAGCTGTACTAAGAATATACCAGCATGAGGTCTTGATGGTACATGCACTCGGTCTGTACAAAAAAGACCCCAAACTTCAAGTGCGTCATTCTGATTTGGAGCCAACTATGTGTATACTCATGTCTGATATTTACAGTCAAACCAAGTGAAGCATACCGCTCAAGATTACATTAATGAATTGACTATTTGAATATTGTACCTGCTGGTTGTTTCAAGAATGCAATAGTGAATTGATTATTTGAATATTGAACTCGCTAGTCGTTTCAAAAATCAATATTGAATTGATTTTTTTGAACATTAAACTCATTATCCATATTCTTGGAATGACTAGTGGGTTCAATTTCCCAATAATCAATTCATTATTGCATTCTTGAAACGACTAGCTGGTTCAATATTCAAATAATCAATTCATTAATGTAATCTTGAGGGGTGCGCTTCACTTGGTTTGACTGATGGAAAAGAGAGTAGAAAGAAAAAGAAGAAAAACCTTTTATGTGAAGGCAAGTTCTTTCAGAACTATAAGCCATAAATTGGCCAGAAAATCTCCAAGAGTGATATGATGCAGAATGCATGAATGCATGAATGATGCAGGATCATTTGAAACATTTCCCAATACTTGGAGAATATTGGACCTGCAATAGAGCAATTACTGGTACTTTGCCATGGCTAATCAACATAGGCTTGCTTCAAAAGCAAACTTTCTCTGCTCATGTTAGAACTTTCAACATAAACTCACTTGCCAATCCTATATTCATCAGGTTTGTAGTTGAGATACTTGCAGATTTTTGTCACTCCTTCACCTGGTTCACCTGGTTAAGAATAAAACACAATGTAAATATTAGGTTTCATGTCAAGTAACTCTACCACACTTGCTGTAAAAATGATAAATCAAAAGTCATGTTAGTGCTGTGTTAGTTCTGAACAAATAATATCATACAGAAAAAGCAAGGTATGATGTGTTAAAAACAGTTTCTACACCTCTACAGCAATAGAGAAATGTGAATAGTGTCGCTTTTGTCCCATGATATAGAGTCAGCTATCAATAGTTGTTCATGTCGTTTCAACCACTATATTCATCGTCTTAATAAGATGAGTTGAATGATTACCCCTTGCTATATGTAGCCTGAATAGTATAATCATGTGTTGCTATACTTATTTGGCTCATTTTGTGCATTGCTGTTTGTGCATTTAAATCCTCAATATTATTCCAACTAGTAAGGTGTTTTGGCTTCATAGGTCGGCTTTCAGAATTGCATTTTCTCTGTTTTTTTTTTTTCTTTTTCAAAATAAAATGCTTAATGAAATCTTTCTGTAATGGACGCACAGAGAGATGTCCTCTATTTCTCAATGTGAAACCATGAATGACCATCTTATGAAACAAATGAATTTTGATTACAGAAAAAAAATTAACCTACCATTCCAAACTGGCCAAGTATCTGGACACAAACACTTGTACCTGTGGTGGAGAAAATTATTAAAATTAAATACTACTGTTTCAAATATGGAGAATGAACAAGAACAAGAGCAATCTCGTTCCCAGAACCCACGTGTCTTTTGGTCGGCGCCAAGACATGGAGCTCTGGAATAATCAATTTCCAGACTCCAAGATTTTAGGAGTTCCAGTTTCATGGTGCATACGTGCCTTGGTTTACAACATGGCAATCTCATTCCCAGAGCCCACATGTCTTTTGGTTGGAGCTGACCAAAAGACGCGTGGGCTCTGGGAATGAGATTGGAACAAGAGCATGTACCTTTGAAGGAAGAATGGAAAAGGTCTACGGTAGGCAAACCCAGCCCTCCTTACTCTCAAGTTCTCCATTAAACCAAGGTATTTTACTTGATGTCGCACAAGATCGTCTTGAAAGACAGCTGTATTAAAAATAACATTCTGCTTTAATGCAATGCTAAAACCCTAATAAATGTATGATTAAAGATTTGGGGAACCATTTCTAAGATTACTGTAAGTACATTTAGTATTTGGCATTAAGAAATTCCTTCATATTAGGTTTAACCTAGTTTTCTTGCAATAGCATAACTTCATTTAACTAAGAGACAGCAAAAAGCTGATCTGACTGGATACAATGTAGTCTCAATGCATGAATGCTACCACTATTTATACCATGCCATAGAAAATTCAGTCCATCAGAATACAGGAAAGCTGTTGTATATTTGACTAACTTCCCATTGTGTACTGCATGTGTGTTGCATTGACTGTGTTGGCCACTGTATTTTCTACGGCATGGTATGCCTCTCGTGGTATACCATGGAGTATCCCACTTCTCACACACCGCTGGGAGCCATGCCAAGCCAAACCACACAGCCTGACCTTTATTAACATAAGAACCCAGTAGTCTTATAATGACACAAAAAAGTGGCTAGAGAATAATTTCACGTCAACTTAACATATTCTACAAGTACTTCACGGCTAGGTGGGTGGGGCATGTCAGGCAATGGCGGATGGCAAAACAAGAACTGAAACCTTACACAAGCCACGTGACCTGAAACCCCCCGCACACCTGTACCCAGACTCCCAGCCGTGTGAGAAAAATGTTTTCTGCTTCTTTCGTTCCTCAGCCAACGGAAAACCACACTTGTCACTGGTATTTTCTTGGTAAACACTCACCTTAAGGCTTGTGTGTACACCAAGAAAATATGTCAAGTGACTCATGGGATATTCCATGGTATACCACAAGAGTGTTGCATAACTAGTATATATTGAATTTATTGTCTACATTAACAGTCTGTATATATAGGCTGTGAACTGTAAATTCCTTCACATTTTCACTTTTCCAAAAAGAATGTATCTAGTGCACAGTTCTCACAGACCTTCAGTGAGAGTGATATTGGGCCCATTAACCTCGTAACAGACTGAACACGTTCATGAATGTACCTGCTTTCTTTGAATCATTTGGTTTGATGCATCTGACGTAAGATGGTTGTTTGCACATCAAGATTGACATCAGATTATTTAAGCTTGCCTTGAACTGAGTTCCAGCCTAATAAGCAGTAAAATGGATATAATTATACATTAATTATGTATACTATTTATCATAAGATTACTAACATGAAATTGAGGGGTGTGCAGAATAAGGCCCCGAGTGACCGTTGATGTAAGTCAATCTCTCCTCCTGTCTCACAAGTGAATACAAGGCAATCTCAACGGAGAACCTAGCAATTGATCAGAAGTTATTTTGAGCTTTTTCCAGGCATCCCTTCAATTGCTACTAAGTCAACAGGCAAGGCAGAACACCCGTTCTCAATGTAAGAACCATTGTTGCTTCTTGTGGACTGTTTTCAAGCTACTGACAATGTCAAAAGCAATAAGTAACAATACTTCAGCAATTGATCAACTTGATTGTCCATAAAACCAAGTTAACAAGCTATCTCAGATAGTGCATCTAAAAGAACTTTATCTTAGATAATATTATGTAATTCATAATCTATCTTTACTTTCCCAGACTGTAACCATCTACATTCTTTTTGGATGGGAATTTGTGTTTTTTCTAGCTAACTAATTTTAAGGTTTACTTTGATCACGAATATAATTTGTCCTTTGAAAGACTGATGTAAGTAACTTATATATCATGATGTAATTTGTTTAAGAATTGACTTGATTGTATCAAGGGTTCCTCCCTTACTGTTTCTGGCCTTTTCAGTGACAGCATTTCTTTCTTGGGAAACACCTCTGATGTAATAGAGTTGGTACTGTTACACATGGCCTTGCAAAAGAAAAATCACAACAGAACATTTAAGCTGGACGCAACAGAGACTTAAAATTGTTCTCTGCAGAAAAGAAGCAAAATAAGCACCCCTATTGACTATGTAGAGAAAAAGGTTGTTCCCAAGAAACTCTTGTCTATAATGCAAAAAGCAGTTTGTATATCTATGTACTGCTTTTTGGTAATTTTACCTTCTTGAAATGTTTTCAGTGATCAAAGTGAAAGTTTTGACAAATATTCCTAACATGCATACCCAATCTCTTTCAGATTCTGTAATCAGTTGATTAAGATTGTTGTTTAATTTGCAATTCCCTCTGAAAGTGACTGCAATATGAATGATTTTTGTTGTTGATGACTCCAGTTAATACAACAGCCAAACTAAACAAGTAAGAAAAGTGATATGTACATGAACATCATCAATATATGTGAACCCAAAAACAACAAGGAGTCATGAAACTCTTTACATCAACTCACTTCTTTCAGATCTCGAAACAGAAGATTGTTGTTTTTGTCCATAAAACCTGCAAAAAAAAAAATTAAATATTGAATTATATAATAACTGGGATGTTGATATCAAATCAGCTACCCACACTTTGCTGAAACGTAAATATTCTACTACTCTAGAAAGGTAACAAGGAAGCTTAAAAATTAATGACAACCTATAAACAACTAAAAAATTCTACATTAGCTGGAATATTTAAACTCCACTTACCATTCACACAGTATGTTACATCACCAGCATAGTGCTTCAGTCTGAATTCCTGAAAGGAAACAGACATTTAGTCCGAGGATAATAAAATATTTGTTACATAACTGAGGTTAAGAAGAAGATAAAAAGAAGATATTGAATTACAAATTTAAAACATGATTGAACTCAAACCTCTCTTTCAATAGTTTTCCTCTCACTGTAGCCAGATGTTGCATGGCTACAAAAGAGAAACAATAGACAGAAAATATTCAATCAGTCAATCAACTAAACCAACCAACCTACCCACCAATTAACCAATTAATCAATCAGCAATCAGTCAGTCAGTCGGTCAGTCGGTCAGTCATTCAGTTGGTCAGTCGGTCAGTCATTCCGTCAATCTGTCAGTCAGGCAGTCCATCAGTCAGTCTGTCTGTCAGCCAGTCAGTCAGTCTGTCAGTCCGTCAGTCAGTCAGTCAGTCAGTCAGTCAGTCAGTCAGTCAGTCGATCAGTAGGCCCAATCAGTTGTTCAATGCAGCTCTGAATCCAATTACACAATTAAAAAATTATTAAGCTTATTAATTATTAAGCAAACAAGAATTAAGCTCCAGTTAACTGTCTGTGGAATGGACAGGTAAAGTGTCTACTGGCCAGGAATTTGATTGGCTGAAATCGATATTGACCGCGGTCTAGATTTTCCCATCTAGACTGGCATCTGTAGACCGGTTTCATTTTGCGTTGAAAAAGTAGCAAACTAAAATACAAAAATGTTCACCATTTTCTTTTATTTTCTTCTCAATCATTTATGGAAGTGCCAAAAAGCCTGATGACAAAAAAAGAAGTAAAGAGGACGAGCAAATTTTGGCAGGTTTATAAAGTTAAGTTCATCGCCGTTCGCTGTACTCACGACCTCGGTCAAGATTCTCCTATACAGACCAACTTAGCTCGGTTAATAAGAGCTAAATATTATTTCTGATTCTTACCTGACAAAATGAGCATGTTCTCCAATTGTCTTTTCCATCTTGTCAAGGAATGTCATATCTGATACTTCTCCAGGACGCAAACATTCCTCATCCTTATGGCCAAAAATTAATATAAAGAGACTCAAGATCACAACAGCATGCAATGAAGATTCTTTCAATTCCATTTAGCAAATTGAATATTACAAGAATAATCAATGAGTGCACTGTAACAAAACAGTAAACAAAACTTCTCTATAACAGCTGGAAGTGCTTAACTGAAGTGTATAACTGAAACTCTAGATGTTGAGCAATTCTACTATTAAAGCCATCATCATTAATGTTGTCTCCCAAAATAGGCAGTAGCCACTATCTCTTTACATTCATCACTGCAGTACGCTATAGACAAAGTAGCATGTGCAACTTACCAGCAATGCAATGATGCCTTGATGCTTGGCTTCTATAAGATCACAGATGATCTTGTTGTCAAAGTAATCAACCTTTTCCCACTACAACAACAACAAACCATTTTCTATTAAAACTACTTTGCTAGTTAAAAAGTTTGATAATAATAATAATAATAATAATAAAATATTTATATAGCGCCAATATCCTAAAAGTTCAAAAGCGCTTTACAGTTAGAAATATTAAAAATACTTAAGACTAATAAAGTAAAAATAAAAAAATGTCGCTAAAGAGTTATAAAAATGCTTTTTTAAAAAGGAACGTTTTTAGTTTATGTTTAAAAAGGGACACTGAGGAGCTGTTCTTGATGTCAGACGGAAGAGTGTTCCAGAGTGTAGGAGCNGTGGCTAAAGAGATGGTAGAGTGATGGCAGAAGATCAAAGAAGAAGAGAGGAGCGGAAGAGTTGGAATAATGGACAAAAAGGAGACATGAAACAGAAAGTGATTACATTTTGAACATTAACCTTTCATATGCTCAACATGCCAATTCATGGTAATGACAACACTGCTGCTTTAAATGTGCAGAAGAAAGTACAACTCCTACTGAGCACTCAGACCAGTGAAATGATTGAGGTTTGGATTACGTGTGCTCCAGAATATGCTCAATAACCATTCTCATTGCAGACTCACCTTTACAAGATCAACAAAAATACTGCACAGGATTGCTCAATATTTAGACTGTACCTTGTTCACAAGAGAAGTATTGATCCGATGCACCAGCCAGGTAAACATCCTGTCATATACAGCCTTTGCCAGAGCATCACGAGCATAAATTGCTTGCTCACTTGTCAGTGGCGTTCTCACCTACAGAGTCATACAGAGATTACCTTGTATGAATTTTTAGAAAAGCAATGAAAATTGATTTACCGAGAAAAAACACTGTATATTACATTAAAATTTTTGATAAGATCTGTCATGTGAAAAAGAACTGTGTTCATAGGTTTCAAAGCAGGGCTCGAAAAAGACCCTTGCCCTTAGGACAAGTATCTCTCAAATAAAATTCTTGCCCTGGGCAAGTCTTCGTTTTCTTTTTAATGATTTAGTTGGCAGACAACTTGCCTGATCCCTTGCCCATCAGGCAAGTGAGGATGAAAAGGTACTTGTCCAGAAGGAGAATCTACTTATTTTTTTTTATTATTTGCAATAACACAAGGGAAACCAATGCTTACTTACAACACTAACTCTATTTACATATTGCTCTAATTATTTATACTATTTAAATTACAATATCTCTCAATTTGCGCTTCTTATCAATTACTGCTTTCTCTTAGCACGATATCACATATGGCTCGCTAAAACAAAAGATGATCATCCAAATCTTATGC